GGCTTTGTTATTTGCAGTACCATCAGATTATGTTTTGGGGGAAGAAACTCCAGAATTTGCTTACTTTGCTTCATTGTAGTATCTTAACTGAGTATCTATGAATAATCTTTTGTCTATCAAGAACAGCTACATCTTCACAAGTATCTTTATTAGCTGGTAAGGGTAGAAGCCAGTAGATTGTTAAAGAGAACGAACAGAATATGTATTCTAAGAGAATGTTTGCTCAGTTTGACTCCATCCCAATTCTGAAGTCTTAAGGGGTGCAGAAATAGTTGATTCTTAACTGCATTGTAGTCCTTTTTGCTATGTGGAACACCTGTTAAGTTAACCTGTAAGTCAGAATGAAAGAGGCAGCCTGATATATATATTATGGAGATCTTAAGTTAACCTGTAAGTCAGAATGAAAGAAGCAGCCTGATAGGGAGATCTGGCTGGACCCAGTTGTTTCCAGTTGAGGTTTCTGACCAAGAACAATAAAGGGCCAGGAGGAGTGGAGATGGGGTTGCTGGGTACTGCATGTGGATTCCATCTTCCTTACCAGATGCCCTGTCCAAAACACAATCCATTTTGAATGCATGTACTGAGCAATCAGGACAAAATAGGGATTCTGTTAGAGTCTCAACCAATGTCCCCTCTAAGCTGTGGAGTCCTGTGAGCAAAAATTCTACCTTGCGAGCTCCTGGCATTAAAGTTGTGAGCGGCCAATTTGGCTACTGCCTACATTAGTTTGCTCTGGAGCCATCTTTCCTGAGCTGAGTCAAAAATCTGTGAGCTGGAGGCTAAAAAATGGTGAGCTAGCTCACACTAACTCAGCTTAGAGGGAACACTGGTCTCAACCGCCCCACTGCCTCCCTGACTGTACTGTGTCATGGACCCTTGGCTTTCTAGTTCTGTGGGGCTTCAATTGCCATACAGTCTGCTTGATGATAAATACAGTGCAGAATTTCGTAGCTTCCATGACAGCTGTAGTTCTTCTGACCCAGTGTGTGCAAGCACCGACACATGTTGGAGATCATATACTGGATCTGGTTTTGTATAGGGTACGTTTGGAGGTGTGGCTTGGGAAAGCCTTAATAGCTCCATTTGTTATGGACAGCTGTCTGTCTGGTCAAGGCCGGGCTTGCAGTTATTTCTAACCTCTAAAGGAAGAGAGGACAAATTTAAATGTTCCGCCCTGAAGGCTGATGGATCTGGATGATTTTCTTATAGTTCTGGGGGGAATATTCAGCTCACTGTTAGTAGTACTGTCCTAGCCTTTGTCGACTACTCAGGACTCTCACACAGGGAGCTGACACAATAGCTCCTGGGTGCCTCCTCTTGCTAGTTAGAACTCAAGTCTTTCCCTGGTAAATCGGAGGGTTGTGAATGAGAAAGCAGAGACTATGGCTGTAGTAAGATAAATCTGGTTTCTCATGCTTTTTAGCTATCTGTGCTAAACTTTTTGTGGGTTGATAAATCTTCCTCTTTCCTTCCACACTGGCTGTGGAGGGGCTGTCTGTGAATGCGAGTTTGAAGTCAGTTATTAAGTGAATAAGGATGAATAAACTGGAACTGGATCAGGACAAGATGAAGAAGCTAATGATGGGTGGTTCTGTGGATCGGGAGGGGTTATGTTTGTTCTTGATAGGCACATTCTGCTGCTTAAGGAACAAGCTCAAAGCTCGGGTATGCTCTTGGATGCATTTGGATGACAGGTAATAACCAAACCCAGGAGTGTGTTTTTTCAACTGTGGGTGATAATGCCATAATTCTACTTTCTGGAAGACTGCCTACAGTCTCAGATCCTCCTGTAACGCACTGTACAATTGAGTTTGGGAATGTCAGCTCATGTGGCGGCTCAGTTTTTAGCAGGATGTTACCGCAAAGATTATGTGACCACCGTTTTTACTAACCACCACTGGTTACCAGCTCTGAAGCTAAACTCAAGTTGTTGCCATTGACTTTTCATGTCCTAAACTGTTTGGTTCCAGGATATTTAAGGGAGTCCCCCCGATATATAGTTCCCTTGAATTGAGACTCAGAAATAAAGCATAGTACATCACAAGCTATCATTTATCTGTAGTAAGTCTGTGTCTTCCCATCCATAAGAAATGGGTCTTTTTCTGTCACAGTACCTGTACTACTAAGTCCTTCACGTTATTGGGATTTTCAGGTGTATAGCCTTTTATTTGGCCAGGTTTAGTGAGAGCCAGAATGTTAAAGTGGTTAGTGTTTCAAACTAAGATCTGGGAGACCAGAACTCAAATCCCCACTTTGCCATTGGACAGTCACGTTCTCAGTAACCTTCCGCATTGGATTGTTGTGAGGATAGAATGGAGAAGGGAAGAATGTTGTAAACTACCTTTTAGTCCCCACTAGGGAGAAAAGTGGGGTATGAATGAAGTAAATAAATAGTTAAGTTTATTTGTGTGTGTGTGTTTCTCCTTGTCAGTTAGCTAATTTTGACAATGAATAACTGCTTTATTTTCATCTTTAATTATTTCAGTAAGCTTTGAGGGGCTTTCTGTGGAAAAGTAGCCTCACTGTAATTGAAAAATTGTGTTTTGTTTCACCATTGAAATAACAGTTCAGAGCTTGTAATGTCTTCACTGAAACTGGAAACGGAGAGGAGCAAATAGATGTAAAAGAGAGCCAGTTTGGTGTAGTGGTTAAGTGCGCGGACTCTAATCTGGGAGAACCGGGTTTGATTCCCCACTCCTCCACTTGCACCTGGTTGGATGACCTTGGGCAGGCCGATGTTCTAATAAGAGCTGTCCTTGAAAAAGAGCAGTTTCTGTCAAGAGCTCTCTCAGCCCCACCTACCTCACAGGGTGTCTGTTGTGGGGAGGGGAAGGGAAAGGAGTTTGTAAGCTGCTCTGAGACACCTTTGGGTAGTGAAGGGCGGGGTATAAATCCAATCTCCTCCTCTTCTAAAAACTCCAAGGCCCAAAACAAAAAACAAAGTGCCTTTGGAATGCTGCCAGCCTTTGTCCTGTTCTCTTATGAACAATATTGACAGAAAAATTTGCCAATGTAGTGACTAGCTGGGGTAAGACTTGTAAGTCATAGTTCTGCTAAGTATATTCTTGCACAGGTTAAATAGGTTTAACTGTACTCTGCATTTTTGTTGTTGCAGGATTTTTCCAAAGAACTAGAAGCTCTGCTAAGAATATTCATTTCTGAGAACTACATTGAAGAACCAAAGGCTATACCTTGTGAATTGTTGGGACAGTCTAGAGGGACAGTGGCAGCACAAAGCTAGCACAGCCATAAAGTGTCAGAGCTGCCAGCATTGTTCATTAATGCCATGGGTATGGTTGCAGACAGATGTTGATTTGGATGATCCATTTTGTTCTCTGCAAAATGATGTCAGGTGTTAAAATGTACACTTGTTTCAAGAAGACACCTTCTAAGCACCTTATTAGGAACTGCAGAATCAAATCTGTTCCTTTGTGAAAGCAAAATAATTTAGTACCGGCAAGCTGGGAATAGAACTTGTATAGTTGTGCAAACACAGCTGGAAGGGTGGGTTCCTTAAATGTGTGGGATTCCCACTTGGAAAATTCTCTTGTTTTAGTAAAGTCTCTGTGTTGCCTTGAGAGGAGAACCCTAACGTGAGACTACTGTTTAATTATCAAGCACATATGGTTGAAAAGTTTTAAATTATCTCCTTTCAGAAGTTCAAATCATGCTTTTAAAATACTGCCATTGCATCAGAAATCAAATGACAGCTTATCTGTGAGTTTAAAAAGGGGGGGGGTGCTTCAATGCCTTCTGTAAAAAAATACCTTTTGTATTTGGAATTTTCTAATAATGAGGGAAGTTTTACTTTGTATTGTGAAGACAGTATTAAGCAGAAGCATTTAGTTAAGTATAATTATGAACAGCGAATTATTTACCAATTTAAAATCTATACTTTAAAAACAAAAGAATGTTCTAAAATGGCAGCTTCAGAGCCTGAAATTAATAATTTTCCTGGTATGGCATCTTCAGTGTGGTCTCCTAGGAAGCTCCTTGCCCAGGGGTGCTCTAGAACTTTGTAGACTTGCTTTTAAAGGTTCTGGTCAACACACAAAGACCCCCAACACATCCTTCAGTTCTTGGCACTGAGTTTCTTATGGGCTGTGTGCCACTCTGTCTCTCTCCCTCCTCCTGTTTCCTTCAACACATTAAAATATTTTCCTTAGGAATCCTGCTTTGTTTTCATTATTAAAATAAGAAATAGTTAATTCATGCATGACAAATATGGGCTTGGTTTTTCTTCCTGCTGCCTCTACTGGATGCAAGACAGATTTCAGTGTGATTTTGATCCAAGATTTGGATTTTCTGGATAATAACAAAGGGAGGCTGCTGTTAGTCCAGTAGCATTAAATTTGCCATGCATTATTGTGTGGGTTATCTGTTACGTGCAGTCATGAGTTGCCAAGAGTCCAGGTAATTGCTTTTTATGATATATGAACAATATTGAAATGTGATAACTAAATCTGTTGAAATAACTGAAATTAACTTGTATGTGGAAAAGTCAGGGGTAATTCCATAGTTGTTTTTAAATACACAATATCCAAAACAGATTTAAAAAACCTAGTTTCAGCCATTTCCATATTTAGAAAACTATTTATTGTGAGGATATGAAAATAGCAATCTTGGTTAAAAGCAGGTATGGGCTAAAGATACGGTATAGTAAACTGTGTTTTCTCCCACACTGAGTAAAAGATTTCACAGAAAATAATTTTGCCCCATTTTAATAGACTACTCTTCCATTCTAAGCATTCACAGGTACCGTAGTGTTATATTTGCAAAAGAAAACATTATATAAATAGTACTTTTAAAGTATCAGTTATTTCTAGAAAGCATACATTAATTGAATACCTGTAAAAATAATAATTAGCTTCAGCATATAAAACCACCTCAAAAACTATATATAAATAAATTAATTTGTAAACATAGAAAAAACAATCATATGCTTTTATAAAAATAAACTTCTGATGCACTGTACAATAAGACATTATCCTTCGATAGGCACCGTCTGTATTAAGAGTAGAGTCCCTCTTAGATGTTGTTCCTGCTATTTGGTTCATTAACAGAGTGCCATGTCCAAAAAAAAGGGGGGGGGAGAAATCTTAACATCTAGGAGGTCTTAAACTGGAAATATATTCTGAAGTATGTCTTTAATTCACATATGATGATCTGCATTGCTGGTACTCTGAGTAGTTTATAGGATTGTCCTTCCCCAGTCCCAGTAACCACCAAGTAATCCACAGGCCTGGATATTGCAAACTATCTCACAGGATTTTTGCTATACGGTAATTTGGTTTGGCCATGCTCTATTAAGCTTAATTACTAAACATAATTTCTGTGCTTTGAATTCTCAACAGATAGATGCTTACCATTTGGGCTGACAGCCTGGGCTTCTGCATGTTTACGCATGTAAACCCTACCCACATTTAATGCTTACTCCTAAGTAAACGTTTTTAAGATTGGTTGTGCTAATAGTCATGTACAATCTCCAGCTGAATCAATTATTTCTGAATTGTGGAAAAGTAATTTATTCCCATCCCCCCCTCTTGGTAATAAGCTGGTTGTTAACTCCTTTTGGGGGGGCATCTGCAGAACTCTACCTTGCCTGTATTTCACCCTGCTCCAAAAGAGTGGCTGCTGGGGGAGGAGAAAACCCCTGGGTATCCCATACATGGCTCTCTGGAGCTCACACTTGGTGGTTACTGCCTAGCAAATAAGCAACTTGTTTCATGCACCAACAATACTGTACATTTTTCATCTTTCCTGCCACTATCCTCAGTTCTTTCAGTGGTGAGAAAAGATGACTAAAGTTTATTTCACACTAATTCCCACCAATTACCTACTCACTTATTACTGTTTCCACTGTTACAAGAATGCTGTAAATAAGTTGGGAGCAGTTAATAGTTCCAATAAAACCATTACAGGTGAGTCACTAACCTCAAGAAGCTGGCTTCTAACAAGAGCAGGGTGGCAGAAAATGGTGCAAAAGCTATCAAGTTAACGTGACGTTTGTACTAGGCTTCTAAAAGTTCTATTTTTACAACAATCTGAATCAAATAGCTTACATCTTCACATGACTAAAACATGCTATGAGATCCTAGTTTATAGTGTGTGTGTGTGTGTGTGTTTGTACAAATTTATTATAAACAGAATTACAGGAATATTACAAAACAAGTTTTATTTGATGTAGTAAAGTATTTGTCCCAACAAACCAGATCTTAAGGAGTAGCAGAACTGCAAAAAGCAGTTGTAGTTGAAGGGAATGGGTTTTATGGAATACTAATAATAAGCCTAGAGGAGAGAGAGTCAGGAGTGGCATTATAAATAATGGCTTCAAGCACTGATTAGTAGGGTGTGAAGGGGAACACGCACTGACCCCTCGGCCAGTTCCAGCCTGGTGGGGTCAGTGGGCTTACACTGCTTTAAGATTTTGTGAATATTCTGAAGTCCTAGAATCCTGCTGCTGTTAACAGAGAACTGGGAATCTAAAGGACACACCAGCTGCTGCTGCACCCCATTCCACTGACTGACACAGCATGCTTTTGAGCTATGAATTTGGTCTATCCAGTTTCAAGCAACTTTGTGTTGCTGTGATTCTGCAATAGAACTTTTGTCTTTTCTACCTGAGTTGTGTTTGTGTTTCAGACTGAGAGTAAATAGGCAGTGCCTAAAACAGCTGATATTAAATGACTAGAAGTCAGCATACCCTAACCCCACTTTGAGAGGGACTGCAATCTTATCCAACCAGAAAGCTGATGAAGTACAGTTATTAAATTAATTCTTAGTGTGCAAGCACCCTTTGGTCAGGTGCGCTGCAAAGGAAATTACAGTAGCTTTGCTGCAGTGGTGAAGGGCTACTAAACTGAACTCCAGACCTGCTACCTCTAAATTCAAGTTTAGATCAGCTCTGTCTCTTGCTGCACCAGCAGTCTTCCAACAGACTGAAGAAAATTTTCAATTTAAAACTGCAGAGGCTTGCAAACATTTGGCTGTCAATGTTGGTGGTTTACAAAAGGAGCAAGCATTGCTTGATCATTGGTTCTGTATAGATTGCCCTTCTCCAAATATTGAACAGGAGGATAAGACTTTAAAAAGTAAATGCTTTGATTAAAATTTGCTTTTTGGATTGCTGTGTCCAAAACCAGATGCTCTGTATTTGTGTTGCGGGGTCCATTTAGCTGTCCTAGGATGGCTTGCTTCCAGTTCTGAAGCCAGCTAGTAGGCTATAATCCTGGCACTGCTGGTATTCACACTTTGTTGATAGACTTCGGTTACAGTATTCCACCCGTGCCTAACCAGCAAGAAAGTGAGCCAGTCTAGCTATCACCAAAGGCTGTCGCTTGGCAACGGAGCTCAGAAGCCTTGCAGGGATGGCTGGGGCACCAAGGTCAACCTGAAGAAAGAAGAAGGGTTCAGGCTTTGGCAATGGCAAGTGCTTTTGAATGAATACACCAAGAGAAGAATGAAACATGCCAAGAAAAATAGTGACAAGTGAGAAAATCTTGGCTTTATATGTTCCTGTTTTTAATTCTTTCAAAAAACCTGAAAGTTTGAATTTGTCATATTGATGTTATTCATGATAACACAAAAAATAACATTATTTATGAAGTTGCTGTAGCCAAACAATTTTAGGTCATCAACATTTCTGGTGTAGGATCTGGACTAACCAGACAGTTTCCTCTGATTCCTACTTCTCACTGTAAACTTCCCTCCTTTTATTCCTCAGGCTGTCCCACAATCCCTTAGGGACAGCATTTTGGGGGGATCAGTGGGCTGTGGGGAATGGGGTGGGGGGAGATCAGGAAAGTCAGCTGTGGCTCATCTTGTTACAGTAGAGCATGGGTGTCAAACATGTGGCCCGCAGGCTGGATCAGGCCCTTGGAGGGTTGCAATCTGGCCTATAAGGCGCTGGCTGTTTCCAGCTTCCTTTTCCAGTTCAGCTGCTGCTGCTACCTCACAGCTTGCTTTACCAGACTCTCTCAGTCCCGCAGGAGAGACAGATAGGCAAGCCTCTCCTGTGCAATTGAGTCTGGTAAAGCACTGGCTGAGGCTCCTCCCGGGGGGGGGGGGAACCAGCCAGAGCTCACTCAATTGTAGGCTGCCTCAATTGTATATAGGAGACACCTTTCTCCTACTGGCTAAGGCTCCTCCCTGAAAGGTGGGAGGGAACGAGCGAGAGCTTGCTTTGCTCGGCTGCCTCAATTGCACAGGAGAAATACCGGGCGCCTTTAAGACCAACAAAGTTTTGTTCAAGGTATGAGCTTTTGTATGCCTTGCTACAGTGTGTGTATATTCTGTTAGGCTCCTTATGCTGTTTGTTTTGTTGAGCTCCTTATGCCAGGAGTCTCCTGGGTGCAACTGGGTTCCCTTCCCCTTTTCACTGTATTCATGCCCTCGTGATCCAGCCTTTCTCAGTAAAAAAGCAATATGAACTATTTTAGAGGAGGAATAACAGCAAGCCAGTGAGGTGGATTAGGCTGAGAGACTGTGTCCAGACCAAGGTCACCCAGCACATTTGCTTTGTAGGAAATTGTAGTTATTTCTCTGGGGAAGACTATAGTTTTGTAGACAAACAACCCTCAATCTGTGTCAGGATGCCTTCTCATGTTCTTGAACGGCACATGAAGCAACTTATGTACAAAAGGTTGCAATGCCCAGCCATTTCATGTTTTCCCCTGTGTCCTAGGCTCAGAACACTGAGCATGAGATTTCTGTAATGTCAATAAATCACAAGTAGGTTTGCAGCTTACAGATACACACCTGAGCAGCATACTCAAGATTGCTACAGCACAGATGTTTTGATGCAATAATTCAGAGCAAGAGGTGTCAGTTATCAGAGATTGTTAAATAGACAAAATATTGCAAGAGTGCTAGTGTTTTAAGCATGTTTTATTTAAAGTTTAAAACATCTTTAATTGTGTTTGTCTGTGTCCTTTATAAAGTTTATATCTCCACTACCTGGCATTACATTTTATGACACCAGGGCTCCCAAGTACGTACCTTAATTCAGCGGGGGATGTATAGTTCTTCGCGGGACCATTCCCGCAGGGAAAACACAGGTGCTGCACTATTCCGTCGCCCAGATGTGAGGTAGGCACGTAGCCGGGCGACTCTCTAGCAATGGGGCTGGAGTCCCATTACCAGAGCGTCACCCAGCTACGTGCCTACGTCACGTCTGGGCGACAGAATAGTGCAGCACCTGTGTTCCAAGCAAGAATCTTCCGGCAGGGAAGCATGTGTCCCCCTCTGGATCGTAGGTAGGTACTTGGGAACCCTATATGACACGCATGGCCCGGCCCAACAAGGTCTCATTTATGTCAGATCCGGTCCACATAACAAATGAGTTTGACACCCTTGCAGTAGAGTTTACACATTAATGTACAGAAATGTGCACACTCTTATTCACAGGTGACTGGTTGCTGGATAATGTGTACAACTGTTCACATTAGTTAATGACTATATAAAAAGTACGTCCTACTGAAACTAGATCAAAGGCATGCCTATGCATTTAGTACTTTCTTGCACAGTTTACAACCAGTGTTCCTCTAAGCTGAGTTAATGTGAGCTAGCTCAGTTTTTTAGCCTCTGTCTCACACATTTTTGTCTTAGCTCTCAAAAGATAGCTTCAGAGCAGACTGATTTATGCAGTAGCCAAATCGCTCGCTCACAACTTTCATGCCAGTTGATCACAAAGTAGAATTTCTGCTCACAAGACCCCACAGCTTGGAGGGAACATTGTTTACAACCTTGGCCAAATGCACAAGAACTAGTGTTTTCACTAAGACTTTGTCAATCCAGATGCTGATTTTTAGAATCCCACTATCTAGCCCAATCACCAATACAGCAGTGTACTATTTTACAATCAACAGGATGGATCCTGTGGATGTTCTGCTAGTGGAAGCACATGTCCTCCTCTTTCTCCAGCAGCCTTTTGTGATCCACAAAAAGGCTTTCCTGGGGCTCAGGGACCCTCACCAACAAAAAGCAGAGTCGTAGTGAGAAGGAAAAAACAGGCCTCTCCTCCCTCTTCCCTCATTGGAAAGTCCAAAGGCTGAAATCCTCTGTTCCTAGATTTTACCATATACTTACCTGTACCATGTAGACGACTTTAGTGATGTCTCTTCCATTCATAGTATCCGGTTCTAATATCCAAGCACTGGGCAAAATCTCTCCTCGTACCATTTCTTTACAAGGACGAGGCATTGACTCTTCATACACTGACTGGATAGCTAGTATGGACACATTCTCCTGCATACAACACCACACCAAAAACAGATTATTAAAGTCAATGAGTGGCTTTTCTTTCCTATGATATTTTCCAGTCCTTATTAATAAGGAAGACATTGGGATAGGTTGCTAGGCTATTTCAGGGGTCAACACAGAAGGTGATAACAAAAGAAGCCAGGCTATGGATTAATGGAAAAAATAGCTTGATCTGAGTCATTGGAAATAATAGTTTCTACCAGGGGTCTTGTTGTAGAAAAAGAGCTGCCGGAGCTCATTAGCATAACTCATTAGCATAACTTATTTGCATATGCCACGCCCCCTGACATCACCGGAAGTGACAGAAGGCCACACCCCCTGACATCACAGTTTCTACACCTCTAACAGTGCAAGCCTGTGTAGATGTACTCTAAGCCCCGTGAAACAAATGGAATGGTCATAATCACTTAGACACAAGTAATTCTGCATACGATTGCACTGAAAGTGTCGCATGGAATCCAAAGGATTTTTTAAAATGTTGACAACTAAATGCCCAACTTTCATCAATGAACTAGATTATTTACTTTTTGGACTTAGGGCTGGCCAAGGGGGCAGTGAAAGCTCTGATATATTTACCTCTTTGGCTTCTACACAGATGCAGCAGAAGTCCCTTGGTTGCTTCTGGTAACACAAGGAAATGTCACTCACCACGTACACTATAATTTAATCAGAACAGGAGAAGTTTGTTAGGGCCATTTCACTATCTTATTTAAGAGATTTCTACCCTCCCATTGTGCTGCAACAGCATGCAGGGAGCTGTACTGAAAGCTCCGATACATTTTTTAAGGCATCCGTAAGATGACTCTTAGTCAAGCCAGGTAGCACAGTACTGAGGACAAAACTTATACCTCCGAACTCTTGCAAAGTAGTAAGGTGTGGCTGGGAGGGGGGTATGTATACCCTGTTAACTGCTTGCTTTTTGCCAACAATCCCTTTAGCTGCTTTTAATGAGGACGCAGCAAGCAAATGCCTGGAGCCCTGATAGGGACACATACAGCTGAAGAGAGGAGGCTGCAGTGATTCTCTGCCTTCCCACATTACTTTGTAGCTGTTGAGACCTGAGTGATTCCTTAGCCTGCTAATTTTTAAAAAATGGGAATTAATGCACAGGTTATAGTTTGAGGCCTTAAAAATACAGAAACAATTATATGAAATGAGAAATTATCAAAATTACACAAACCTGGTTGGGTGAATGAGACAACAGATTTATTATCTCAAACATCCTCCTATTCACAGCAGCTTGGAGGATGCCCCTGCCTTGAACTCCAGGTTGGTTGTTACAAGAACAGGATGGGAAGGCTCCAAGGATTATCTTTGTTAATTTCACTCACCTATCAAACAGCTCTGGGCAAGGAGGCTTATATCCCTGGTAATCCAGTGCATGGGGTGTGCCACGCATCTACTGACCATTCTGGCTCAATTGGAAGACCATAGGAGGTTTTTAAAAAGGTAAAACAAAACTGTACATTTTGGCAGTTCTGGAACACAACAGAGACTTCCGGCACGTGTGGCCTGCGCTGACTTCCGCTTCTTCTTTTGTTTGCAGTTCAACCCTTTAAAGGCTTTTATTTTAAATTTTGATTGCTATTCAAGTAACAATTCAAGATGGCTTAAAGATGCGTGTCTAATATGCTTTTTAATTATGATAGTGTTCCCTTAATATGGAAAGTTCAATTTGTCTAAAGGACAATGTTTTATTGACACAAGTTCTATGTTACTTGTTTTGGACTTTCCAAGGAATCTCTCATGAAGAAATAAGCAACGTTAGGAAACTTAAGTCTAGTGTAGCTATGAACTGATTGCTGTTATGTTACACATAAGCACAGAAATGTCCTCACCCAACTCAATGCTGCTAGTTATTTTCTTATGAACTTGAGCTGTGGTAATGGTTTTGTCATACAAATGCCTTTTGCTAGGGTCCTTCAGCATACACAACACAGTGGGAAGAGGTCTGTCAATCACTCCTGCTCCCAAGAACCCATGCTTTGTTGCAGATGATGAAAAGGCTTTGTAATAAACTAGCACATCCTTTTCCATACACTGGTATCTGAATAAGAAAGAAAACAAAGTAGATTTACACTTAGAATACATTAAGAGGTTCTTAAGTGAACCTGACAAGTATCTGGCCTAAGAACTTACTTCCAACCAGCTGTTGCCTGGCCACTGTAAAGATTTCTCAGGTCATTTGAACATACAGCCATAACCTATAAAGCAATTAAACCTGTGGTTAGAACATTCCAAACACTTTTCATTCCACTTCATCTAAACTTAGAAATTTTAACCATCTCAGTCTCATAATCAGTGTTTAAGTATCTCTTCTAAATGGTACACAAGTGACAATGAATTATGAATGGACATTGCTTCTGCTACTCATTCTATAGTACATGAATTATTTGCCACAAGAAAGCTAACTGGCTAACCTAAACTGCTGTTCTCTTTGGTGCAGAAAAAAATGTTCCTTTAATGATATCATAAGCCGGTTGTGGCCCTGACACCCATATCAACTAGTGGTTCCAAAAGGATAGCATGATTCTATAGAAAGCTGCTGAAAGGTCCATGAGAATCAACAGGGCCATGCTCCTCTTCTCTTTCTGCCAGCAAAGGTTGTCCATTGGGAGATAGAGACTACCTTAGTCACGATAAGTGGATCTGAAGCAGGACTGAAATGTGTTTAGGTAACTGTTTCATCCAGGAAATGACGGACTTGCACCATGCCCATCTGCTTGAGCATTTTGCAAAAAAAGGGATTTCAGTGACTGGCTCTATACTTGTAGAAAAGAGTAAGTCCAGTCACATCTTAAAGACTAACAAAATTTGTAGCAGTGTATGAGCTTTCATGAGTCACTGCTCACTTCTTCAGGGTATCTAGTCAAGTGAGCTACATGCACTCCCATGTGATCACATATGTCTTGTGCACATGAGCTTTGAAGCAGATAAGCATGCTCAAAGAACTTAGATCTTCTACCCTTACGGGAACAAACAACCTCCTGTCTACATGAAACAGCTCCCATGTCTACAAGAAATAAGGATCAGAATAGCTTTTTACAACACTAACATCATGCATTAAATAGTAAAGGCTACCAGTGCTGTAGCTTTTGTTTTAGAGACGTTCTCTCCAATTAGCGGTCTCCTGGTTTTTTTTTTTTTAAAATTCTCCCACTGAAAGCAATATCACATTTGAATTTTCCTACATCTCTTACGCTTATGCCAGACCTCTCTTCAACGAGCATTCTTAGGGCCATACAAAGAGAACTTCTCAAGTAACCAATGCGTAAGGAGAAAAACTGTATGCACAATCACAGCACAATTGCCCCAAGTCTGACTAGACTCAACCAGGCCCTGGCCCCCACCTGGTGTAATGAGCTCCCATACGAGATCAGGACCCTGAGGGACCTATTACAGTTCCACAGGGCCTGCAAGATGGAGCTCTTCCACCAGGCATTTGATTGAGGAGGCAGACGTCCCTTTTCCATCCTGGCTATCTCCCCTCCAGTGGCCTGGTTCTTAACATCGGTACTGCTGAATTGACATCAGTGGCCTGGATCTTAATATCAGTATGATATCAGAACTAGCTTGTTTGCATGGTATTTGATTGTTCTCTGTTTTAATTGTTATTTAATTGTTGTTTTAATTGTATTATATTGAGATTGTTGTGAACCACCCTGAACTCGTTCGCGGGGAAGGTGGTATATAAATCAAATAAATAAATAAATAAGTACCTATATCATCACAATTGTGTATGTTTTGAACCAGTATTCACATTAGCGTCCAGACATGGAGGCAGCAAAACAGTTATACATGATTGTGTACAGGTTCCTCCTTAACAGTGGTTATCTCCATGTAGAGTAAATGAGATCTATGAAGTAACTCTTAAATGGATATGTAAAGGGAAAATTAGGTAGCAGAATATCAAATTTTCTATTTCCCTACCCTTTCTTGAAAGGAAAGAGTAAAATATGAACAATTATGTTCACCAACTCACCTCTGCAGTAGCATTAGCCAAGACATATTTAGACAGATCCTCATATCCTTTTGTAGGAGAAGCTGGAAAGGTGCCAGGGGAAATAGTTATGCTATGAAAGAACCTCTGGCTGGCAGGAAGTGATGACTGGATACTGTTCTCTCTACATGATGATGTTGTATGAAAAGTCTCTGAAATAGATAACAAGCAGCCCATATAACTCCAAGTCTTGGTTGTTGAATTGTTATTTCGCACATGCATGACAAGTTTTATGGAATCTGGAATCTGATCAACAGTCCACTTTGCACATCATTCTACCACCACTAATGGCCTGTGTCAGGCATTTCCAGGTGAATCCAGATTGCTAATTCTAAATTGGGAAATTCCTGGAGATTTGGGGATGGAGCCTGAGGAGGGGTGGGACCCCAGTGGGGTATAATGCCATAGAGTCTACTTTCCAAGGCAGCCATTGTCTTCAGGGTCTCTGTAGTCGGATCATGTGTTGTAATTGCAGGACATCACCAGGTCTTGTGGGAGACTGACAACCCTGACAACGATAAAGGCCACTAGCTCAGTGCCCTTTATGTCAGCACTTTGCCATGTGCAGATACTACTGAATATGTCATCTCAGCCTCTTGGTTTGGTATTGATATCCCTCACAAATATCCACAATATTGTACCCATCTCTTTTCTATCAAATGTGAAGGAGAAATACATGCACATACGAAATACAGGTCTCCCCTTCAAGTGTACAGAATGTTAGAAAAGCAATAGTAGTGTATCACACGACACAACATGAAGAGATATTTAGATGGTTAATTTGGTTCCGAAGTTCTCAGGTATGTTACCAATGTATGTTACCTAGAAACAAACTGGGCCTATATGTTTCTCTTCTACTTTCTGTTTTGCTTACTCATCTTGTTGTATCTGCTGCAGACCAGGAGAGAACTTTGTACTGTTCTTTCTCCAAACGTGGACCTGTAGCGTTAATTGCTCTGTGTGTCTAAAAGCTAAGTAAAGGTGTTTAGACAGTGCTTGTGAAGTCTTCAGCCTGGACTCAAGTAATTTGTTAATGGCCACACCCATTATAGAAAAGATACAGTCACTGTGCTATGAAAGCATCGGGACCTCTGAGTTCCCAAGAACATGTAAAATGGCCCTCATTGTGCTTTAGCCATTTAGGTATTTATTTCAGTCAAATTGCTGACACATGAAAGACATTTTTAACTCTCTTGATATTTTGCTTTTTTACCTTAAAAAGATGACACAGCCTGCACACATTTGTGGAAATAATCAAAACAAATTTATTTATTCCTCACCATTAGTGGAACCTTTTTGCAGTTGTTCAACAATATAAACTTGATGATTTCTAATAGCTGAGCGGCCTCTTGGGTGTTCTACATCTTCAAGAGAAGCCTTGTGGACAGAAAGGAGGCAATGTGGGTTTTATATGTGAAAGCTACTAGCTACTTCTCATTCTCAAAAACAAAAACAAAGAGCAGCAACAGAAGAAGTATGCAAAACAAAGGAAATGATCAGTACTCAAGAATAAACAACCACAAGTCTGGGAGTCGAATTCCTGAACTCATTCCCCCAAGACTCAGGAACACAACCTCTGTTTTTGCTGGACTGAGTTTCAATCGACTCTGTGTACTTGTAATATGAGATTATGATGCACATCACTCACGTATAAACTTGTACAAAGTTCATTCTATTGCCGTATATCCAATTTTGCATGCATCTCTGTCTGTGGACATAAACTAGAATCCTTTGTTTACAGAATTTCTTTCAGTGATGTACATTTTGATCTAGACAAATAAGAACTATTGCCAAGTGCCAATTTCTGCTTCATAAAAGCCTTGCCTTATTAAACTTTTCTGAAATATCAAAGTTTTTTACCTGCTCTTCTTGCTTGCCCAATATGTTAGCAGCATATGTAGCTGTGTTACTACTATTGTATCCAGATGTTGGTCCTGAAGATAGACTGAGGGTAGAATCTGTGCATAAAGTGCTTGTGCTTACAAGGGTTTTCAGCTTCATTTCTTCCTGTGATGAAAGGCTCAGTATTAAGGAAATGCTAGAAAGGTGGGCAAGCTTACTGCTAATTCACACAACCATTTAGAATGTAATGTTGTTTTGTTAGCATGGAATTCACATGGAAATGCTGAAGCAGCCACATGGTGACAAAAGGGAAGTTACCTCTCCCAGAGCACTCTCCTGTGATGTACAGCAGGGGGTTGTTGCAGTCTAACATATATGGGAGTTATGGAACACCCTTCCTTCAGTGGTCTGCCTAATAATCATGGTTTAACCTATGGAGAACCCTCTAAGTTATTTTGGCTTTTTAGCATTAAGTTGCCAACACAGACATATCCTGAGAAATATGAAATTCCCCTTTGAGAAATAACATTTCTTCTCAATATGATTCTACCAAAACAACTAGATTTGAATCCTGTACATTTGTATAGCAATATTTCCTGATGACATTTGCCAGACAGACTGTTCTCATATATAATCTTACCAACCATCTTTTCCAGATTGAAAGTCATTCTGTTACTTTAGGAACATAAAATATGACTATGGACATTTTTTCTTGGCATGAAATTATCACAACTAGCATATTAAAAATATAGTGTATCCAAACTATTATTACAAACAGAATACCCACCCACATGCAAAAACAAAACTGAAACCTTTTTCTTTTCTTGTGATAATAGGACCTCCTAAAGAAAGAAATGCATCTTGTTCTTGCATTGGAGAGTTCTGTTTGTAACCTAGGACTTGCTTGTCCTCAGTGCACAGAAATTAGATCAATCTGATACCATACATATTTTTTAGAAATGATTTGGAAAATATTTGAACACCTTGTTTTGTTTTTCATCATGTTAAAATAAAACGTTCCATAATCAATTTTTTTTCTTTTCTTTTTTAAATTTTTCCAATTTTTTGGAAAAAAACAAAAAAGGCTTCAGGAAAAAAACAGAACCCGAATTTTTTCCGAATTTTCCCGGTTTTTTTCCGGGCCTTCACATCTTTACTAATAACAGATTTGTAACTCTCCAGAATTCTGCAAAACTAATCTCAGCCTCTGACACATGGCCAGTCACTCAACCACAAAATCTTCAGCTGGACCCAACTGTAAGAGAAGAAAAGATACTTCACAGAAGGGTATCTTCTTAAATACAATAGTAACAAGTGCAGTAACAGTCCTGAGATCTGTCAATGCTGGTAACGTTATCAAGCTCTGTAGTTAGCCAATTACTAAAATCTCTTGTGAACAAGCTGCCAAAATAAAAAGCTTCCACAGGAAGCAAACCTGATGGTTCAGAAGAATCCATAAGTTTGTAGTGGAAAAGATTTTCACAACTTCTGGAGCATCCAATGAGACAGAAAACCAGCTCAGTGCAAGTGGCAAATGAACGACTCCCATTTAATCCTATAGAAAAAAGTAATTTCTGCATCTGAGCAGAGCAAAATGGGACACTGAGAGAAGGAACAGACCATGTTAGCCACTCTGAGCTCCTTGGAGGAAGGTCGGGGCAAAAATAATAAATACCACGGAGGTAGTCCAAAAACTATACTCAGCTCCTACAATTAGCAAAAGCACAGTTCCACAAGACTGGTGTGTGTGTATGCAGGGCTTTTTTTTGTAGAAAAAGCCCAGTAGAAACTCATTAGCATAATAGGCCACAACCAACTACATGAACATATTAGCATATTAGGCCACACCCCTGATAGGGCAGCTCATTAGGCCACACCCATGCTTTCCCTTTGCTTGCCTGAGCCGGCCCTTGGAGGGAAGGGAAGGCAGTTTAAACTGCCTTCCGTTGGCTTGCCTGGGTGCCCCTTCCAAACTCCCTGCAATATATGGACGCTGCCACACCTTCCTGTACTACATCTTGCTGTTATAAACTTAAACTTACCTTCTGTAGTTGAGACAATATTTGTTCTTGAATGGCTAGGAGTCGCCGGGGGGAGTCGCTCTCCAGGCCTTCCCTCTGTAGCCACGCACGCAGAGGTTTTGGCTGTAGTGGGTGTAGCTAACTCTGAAGCCAGCCGGAACTCTGTTCCTGTGCGTTCCTGTCCCCAAATAGCTCAAAAATAGCCCCAAGATCACACCTTGTCTCTATACACAAAGGAAAGACACTCAACATGCCCCTTCCCAACTCCCTGCAATATATGGACGCTGTCACCACTTCCTGTACTCAGGGCCAGCTCGCCCACTAGGCGAGCTAGGTGCTCGCCTAGGGCGCGCCGGCCCTCAGGGGCGCCAAACCGCTCCCCGCCTCGCCCCCTGTAACTCTCCAGAATTCTGCAAAACTAATCTCAGCCTCTGACACATGGCCAGTCACTCAACCACAAAATCTTCAGCTGGACAAGGTACCTCTGGACTCAAGTCTGGCTCATTGGAAAATTGGCTCCCTGTTCCCTGGTGTTGCAGCCAGGGCCGGCTTGCCCGCTAGGTGAGCTAGGTGCTCGCCTAGGGCGCGCCGGCCCTCAGGGGCGCCAAACTGCTCCCCGCCCCCAAACTCCCAACACCGACGGCCTAACTGGCGCCCGTCCCTCTCCCACACGCTCTCTCTCTCTCTGCGGCGAGAGAGGGAAGCAGGGGAGGGAGGGAGGAAGGAAGGAAGGTCGCGAGGAGGCAGAGGGTGCCATGGGGGGCGGGGCCCCTGCTCTCTGGTGACACCCTTCCACGCCCTCCGCTGGGGGGGGGCAGGGAGAAGCAGAGAGACGCCCCCTCCCCAGCTCCCGAGGGCGCCCCGGAGGCCAGGCCCGCCGGCAGAAGACCCCCGGCTGCGTACTGCGCGCCTCCCTGACGCTCCGTAGCAGCTCAAAGCTCAAGGCACCTGTGGCCTGGCGCCGAGAAACCTCCTCCCTCCTCCTGCTCTGGGGCTGTCAGCCCGCCGCCGCCCAACCCCGCCGTAGGTGCTTCAGCCCCGCACCTGCGGAGGGAGGGAAGGGAGGGAGGGAGCCACCACTGCCGTTTGCGCTCTTTGCGCTCTGTCGCCCTCTCTCTCTCGCTGCCCTGCTCAGCGGAAAGCCCCTTGATTCGCGGGGTGTGTGTGTAGGGAGGTTGGCTCGCCTCGTCGGAAAGCGCCCCTCGAGGAAGCGCAACCCGGCTCGGAAGCCAGTCCAGCGAACGGGGCCAGGAAGAGTTGTGGAGACTGTGCCCCTTCCAAACTCCCTGCAATATATGGACGCTGCCACACCTTCCTGTACTACATCTTGCTGTTATAAACTTAAACTTACCTTCTGTAGTTGAGACAATATTTGTTCTTGAATGCGCCTCTTTTCTTGCTCTGCTCTTTCACGAAGCTTGTCCCTGGCTCGTGCAATTTCTGTTTTTGTCTCTTCTTGTGCTTTCTGATAATCTCGAAGCAGCAGCTCAATCTCTGAAGGATGCTGAATCCTCATTTTTGGTTCATGAACTCTACAGGAAAGGGAAGAATTCAATGAATCCATTTCTGATAGCTTGTCTTCTTAAAACCAGTCTTTAATAATGTTGAGGTGAGAATTGCTTTTTGGAACTTAAATCTTCTCTCTTTCTGCTTGCTAAGGAGGTTGCAATACTTTTTGCTTGGAGCTTTTGAAAAATGTTCCGCTTAATAAAACATATACACCATTAAATTCAAGCACGCTATATTTATTTGTAACAGCTAGACTAGGGCAGTGTCTTAACTAATACTTCCTGCATCTCTTTTTCCTTTGAGTTTTGCTATCTAGTATTTCCTTTTGTTTACTTCTTATTCATGTACATCTTCCTCTCAGAATTTCACCTTTTTAAATTTTAGAAAATGTAATGTTGAATGCACTCAAATTCACACCAACAAATCACATGCACTAATGAACCATGAGATCATTAGATGCCTAGGTTAAACTTTGTTTAGAATAAATCAGCAAAATTAAGTAACAAGATACTTAGGATGTACGGGATCAACAGCATATACTTGGAGGGGGACAGGTTAAAATGCTCCGACAATGACAAATGAACAAGAGCTATGGAGGGGCCACATTAGAGTTCTGTTCAAACTAATGGTAGAAAAGTCTATACCTCTTTTAACTAGAGAGAGACATGTCTGAAAGAAAAAAATATGCTTGTTTGTGGGACGTAATATAGAGTATGCCTCTTCCTTGTGCAAAAATCAGTAGATCATCACGTTAAAATGTTTGGACACATTCTAGGAAATCAGGCAAGGCAAGACAGCTGTATAGTATAACATGATATATCCCTTTGTACACACAAGACATCTATTGTAAGACATGATTACATTTTGATAGTTAGGAAGGGGGAACAAATAGCTCAAAGTACCTAAAATCCTCACTCCTCCAGAAAAAAGAACCAGGAACAGTAAAGCCTACCTGGTATTTTCTATAACATCTCTTCTCAGTTGCTGTAGGTATTCACAGTGTCGGCTAGGCAGGTCTGAATCTCTCTGGTTCATATCCACTGACTGCAGAAGACTAAGATGTTTTTGTGGACTGAGGCTACGACTCCTTCGGAAACACTGAAGTCTCTCCTCTCTCTGTTTTCTCAGTATCTCAATTGACTTTCTGTGCCTGTCGTGGGGATGGTGGGAGAAAGTTGATAATTCATATAACACAGATGTGGTGAAAATTACAAAGCCCACTGTATATATGTTAAGATGTTAGTTTGTATGCTTACATAAGAACTAGGACTGCAAGAGGGGAAATGAATATGCAAAATATATAAAATTCTAGCAGTTGAGAAAAATAGAAAATTGTTTTTTAAAAAATTAAGGTAAATATGAAAGTTTTTAATGACTAGGTCTTAAGGGAAATGAAGGAATTGTAGATAATGTTAAAATCCCACATTTGACACAATTGGGTGGATCCTACCCCTGCCCTCCCACTTTATTTATTAAATATTTATACCTCATTTTCGCTTAAGTCTGAAGCCTTCCCCTGAACTGGTTCTTCCACCAGAGCAACAGCCACTTAACTTGCAAAAGCTCCTTAGGCTGGAGGAAGGCTACTTAGAGGATGGTTGGATCCACTCCAATGTCAGACTGCAGATTTTTGCCAATTGCACCCTCCTGCTACAGACCTCCAACTTTCTCCCCATGCTGTTCAAGAGGGCCCCCGGGCCCCCAAAGAACAGCATTTTGAGTGTATACTGGCCTGCAGCAGAAGGAGGGAAGCAAAGAAGTTCTGCTTCTTGTATGGAAATCCCTTACATTCACAGAAATTACAGGAGGATCCAAGCTTGGGTTGCCAGGAATGGATACATTGATTGCATGGCCTGGCAACCCGTGAGAGATGTGGGGAGGTAATGACTTACTGTGGGGAGCAGCAATCCATCACCACGTGATGTCACTTCCAGCATGACCTAGAAGCTTTGGCATTGCATCGTGGTGCCACTCTAGCACTTACCCACATACGCTATGGGATTCTGGGCAAGTGCTAAAACATCGCTTCAGTCCAATGCCAGCACTTCCAGGTCACATGAGAAGTGACATCATCATGCAGTGGTGAAGATCACCTTCCCCCATTTTGCCAGCCTGCTTCTGCCCACCAAATAGATGAGCATCAGTGGGCATTAGTTACAATCACCAGGAGTTTGCCCGCCGTTAGCAGGCATCTGGTAAGCCTAATCCAAGCCAAAGGGTGTATGTTTCTCCACCCTCACTTCGTATCATTGACTGCAAGCAGGAGAGGGGAAAAGCACAGCATCATGATTACTTTGGATAAGCTGCATTACTCATTACAAAGAACGTGAAATGGATGCCATTTTCAATAGCAGCCCCATGTTCACATTATGTCTAATTTGCTTTGAAATATTAAAAACAATAGTTTTTAGTAATAAATATCTATGGTTGTTCCATGAGAAGCTATGCTTCTGGTATTTTTAAAAAATGTAAAGTAATTCACCTTTCATAAAGTTGCTGTTTTGTGGGCACTGATGTCAAATTCTCGCCTGCTCCACTCTGAAGGATCCTTAGTTGTGCGTCTGTTTCCCCAATGCCATAATTTAACTTTGCCTCAGTGAGTTCCACAGTAAGAGGAGGCTGATTCATATCAAAATGGATGCCAGACATAACCTGGGCACGCTCTCTTTGTAGTCTCTCAATTTCTCTGGTTTTCCTTTCACCAAGCAAGGGTCTATCTTGAAATTCTATTGTTCTTGTGTTAATTGTCCGCCTTTCTGCCGGACTCTGGATATCACCAGTACTTCGAGTCAGGCTAGTTAAAGATGAGTGGGCACCCCCCTTCACACCACACCAGTTGCTAAATTTATTGTGCACAGGCAGGTCACGAAGACTATAGCTACGAAGTCTGTGAGTCTTTACTAAGGAAGTATTTTCATTTAGCAGAATTTCAGTATTACACTCAGTTTCCATATCTGATTCTGCCTCAACAGTATCATCACCTTGCATTTCACTAATTTCAGATGCTGAACAAGGATAGTTTTTGTTAGTTCTCCAAGTCTGATGGCACCGAGGAGAAAAAGAATCAAGCAGACACCTTGGGGACTCAGTAGATTTTAAAGATGAAGATCTATTAAGCTCATTTAAAGATATCTGAAAGGATTTATTAGTTGGTGAGGATTCAGAATTTCCAACAGGACTTTCATATTTGATTCCACCTGAAAAGTTTCTTGCTGTCCTGGTTGCACATATCTGATGAAAGGAATGTTCCACTGGCACAGTCTCTCTGTGATCATCGACTGAATATTCCCCATGGCTAGAAAGTTCCAATGTGCTGCTTGAATGATAGAGTCTTTTGGTGTGAACTGCAGTATGTGTAATTCTGTGCTTTTGTTTTGATGCACCTATACCTGAAAGCTCTTTGGCTGTATTCTTAGCCAAGGCATTTTCAGACTTCTTGCAAACCTCCTTGCTATCTCTAGATGTGGTAGACTCACTGTCTGTTTGTGAAGAAGTATCTACATGAAGATCCTGAGAAGCAATGTCGTATAGTGGGCCTGATTCCCTTTTTCTAAAACTAGCTAGAACATTTGCTGTATCTCTCAGATTCCCAACAGAACTTTTGAAAGAAGTGGATTTGTTTAATGAATGCTGCCGACTGACTGGACTGGCACTAAGCGTCAGAATAGGGGAAGATGCACGGTCAACGAACAAGCTGTTATTGCAGTACAGTTCCCTTGTTTCTGGAATTCCATGTTTACTGACATGTTTCCTATCTTGAGAATAGCATGCTGAAGATAGAGAGATGCTAGAGGAAGGTTTACTAACTACCAGGTGTGAAGTCTCATCATGTTGAGAGTGAAAAGAAGATGTAGTTAGAGAAGGTTCAAGATTGCCAAGGGTAACTGTTTGTGCAGCAACTAATGGTATCTTCTGCATGTCTAGGGAAGAACTGGAGTCTTTATTGAAGGTAGCCTTAGACACATGGGACTCTTCTAGAATTTTATTGTCATCATGGCTTCTTAAGTCAGGCATGCTCTGTAGCATCAACCCCTTTCTATCTGATATTCTCTCTTTCATCAGAGCTACAGTGTCTGTATGTACAACCTTCACAATCACATTTACCTCCTGAGATTTCATTGGTTCACTTTCGATTTTAGATTTGATTTGGTTTTCTTTGTTCTTGCATTGAGGGTGTCTTAGAATATCTGTCTGAATGCCTATGTCTTCTGTTGTTTGAGTATAGCTATCAGACACTGAAGCTTTCACATTTTCCTTATCCTTTGTTTTTTGGTCGCTTTGTTCATTATCTTTAACTGTATGTAAAGAAAAATTTCCTAGCAGCTCAGAAGTGCTGTGAAGCAGCTGTGATAGATGCATAGAAAGATTCTGTACACTTGACCAAGAAGATGGCTGTTGGAATGAACTCCTAGCTTCCTCTGGTTTTCTTGCAGATATATCAGTGTAGCTTCTGCGGTGTCTCTTTGGTCTTTTATGCTTTGCTGGAGGCTCCGTTTGTGTTTCCCGTTCACAAGTAAGATGGCCTTGAGGTTTACTACAGGGTAAATCTGATTCAGAAGGGTAGAGCAGAACAATTTCATCAACCTGCATGGACGTGTTTCCGGACTGTTGAGAGCGATCACATCTGGAAATGCAGTTCTCAGATGTAGTTTCATGTTCATCATGAGAAGCATTGGAATAATGTTTGATACTTTCATCTGAATGTGTAGATTCAAAGCCCTCTCTTGCAACTTCCCATCCCTGAATGTCATCTGTGCTACTTATGGTGCTCGACAGTATTCTCGCATTAGCATAAGAACTGAGATGAGAATGGAAAGGAGAATTCTCAGAGTTTAAGCCATTATCCACACTGGAGCACCTCATAACTGTTTGAGTATCCAGGCTCAATGGGGGTGGGTTGCAAGAGACATCACTTGCACTTCCAAAAACATACTGCTTCCAACCAATCTTACACCGTTCATCTTGCTGCCATGAGTGAATATATGGATTAATATCACTTGAACTAAAGTGCATTACATCTTTATTGTCCTGTAATAGTCCACAGGATGCTTCTGTTCGGAATCTTAGTTCTTCTGTGTCCATGTTGTGTCCATATACTAAAGGAACTTTATCTGAGCACTTTCCAGTCTCTGTATCCATGGGACTATGAGTTGTGCGATCAACAGCTACTGGATAGCGAACAGGAGAGGGGTCTGAAGAGTGACTGCTCTGAGATCGTTCTCTCCAGTTTCTTTTATCAGAGTTAATGGATCTCTGAGCTTGAGCTGATTTCTTTTGAAACCTCGGTTTATATTTAACTGGAACAACACTGTCTGCCTTAAATTTTAAACAGCTATCAGTTCTGTGTATATCATCTTCAGTTGGGGATGGAGGCTCAACACTCATATTTAATTCCTGTAATGACTTAGAAGCAAGATGCTCACAATAGTCTATTTTAGATGACGTTTCAGAAGCACATTCAAAATTAGTAATGACAACAATAGATGGGGCTGATAAACTATGACTCTGTAAACCACACTGTTCATCATCTCTGCTAATGTTTGCATTCTGTACAGTAAAACCTTTTTCTTTCTTTCTAAGTATCTCTGGTTCAGGTTCTTTTTGCAAAGACAAACAGCTGTTACCTGATAAATATTTAGAAGACATATTGTCATTAATTACTGAGGGATTTAGCTGTTCTGACATCAAAAATTCCCTTTCCTTATTCAATTCACATTTTTTAATGACATCAGTATTAGCTTCAGAGGTAGGTCTATTTTCTATATTAACACTGCTACTAAAATATGTACTTTGGTCTCTTTGTGAATCAGGGCATGAATGTGGAGGAGGATATGAATTTGGGCCAATGTTTTCTAAACATCTTTGCAGTGGAACTTTAGCTCTATACTTTGGACAAACTTCTGCTTCAGAGTGGTTTTTTTCAAGTTTAGATTTGTGGATTTCACTGTCATCTAAACTTGTGTTTCCTTGAGAGCTAGAAGTAGTCTCTAAAGCACATGGCTGCTGGCCAAATATCACAGTATCACTGCACTGACTTTCCTGCATTTGACTGGTAACAGGCTCTGGGAAGCTTGATGTAGCTGCATTTAGAACTGGTCTTTCAGTTTCGCTCTGATATCTACTGAGGCTAACAGGGGCTTCTGAAGATGAGCATGGAACCTCTGGAGAAGCTTGATAACAGACCACTTGACTTTCTTGCACTTGGAAAGCAGACGACAAATGGGAAGTCAAAAATGCATCTTGTAGCGAGTCAGTATAATGCATGCACATGGAAGATGTGAAATCTTCAGGGGATCTTGAAGACTCAGTAATACTTGCATTTTTAAATTCTGTACACATGGGAAAATCTTTCAGAGAACCTAAATGAGTCTGCATCACTTCATCATTGCTTATTTGTTCTAAGCTTTGATGAGTAAGCAAGCTTCTCTCTTGCAAACTTATTTCTGTCCTATCTACATTATTCTGAAACTGTAAATGTAGATGATTCTCATTCTTACCCAGACATTCAGGGAAAGAACTTTCCTCTTGCTTTTCCTTTTGATATATTTCCACTATTTCTTGAGGTTTTGCACTCTCAGCATTACTGATGATTTTGCTATATTCCTGATGCACATCATAGTCACTTTTTACATCCAAAAATTTAGAGTTTATGTTTTTTCTTTCCCCAAAATAAAGACCACCAGTCTCATACTTGTCTATAGAGTACTCTAACAAAACGTTTGGAAATGAAGTGGAACTGTTTAAGAGACTAGCAGAATATTCAGAAACATATGGTTTCATATTGCACTGTGCACAACTGTCATCACGGTAATTAGCATTTTCCCACAAGGCTTGGGTGGAGTGCTGTAAAAGTTCTTCTCCACCTTCTGAAGTCACGTCAGAGTCCCTCTCACAGAGATCATGAGAAGATCTGTACACCATAGTCTCAGTTTTTCCCTGAGACCCCAATTCGCTGATAATCTGTTCGCTATTTGTTTCACATTCTGTCTCAGTAGAATTAGTATTTCCGAAGCATTTATTTGTCTGATTATGTTGCAATAGTGAATCCAACACTTTCTGACTGTTAATACTATTAAAATTCTTTTCAGAAGAAAGTTCAGGTAAACACTGTATTATTTCTTCTGCATTTTCTTTGAACACTGCAGAGGGAAACATTGTTTTGGAACCAAATGAGCCTAACACAGCATGTTCTTTTTGAGCAAAGTTTTTAACTGAATGTAAATAATGTTCTGGTTTTTGGTCTTCTCTTGCACTGTGTTTTTCATTAGAACTCCCCAAATCATTACTTGCATTTTCAGATAACAACTTTGTGAGAGGCATTTTTTCATTAGCAGGAACAAAAGCTAGCGATCCATGGTATTCTGCAATACATGATTTTGGGTTATCCTCACTAGGAACTTGCTCAGATCCAATATAATCAGAAGCTATTTTTAATCTGATGTCTGCTTTCATTTCTCTGTCCTGTTCTAGTAGTTCATGAGAAAAGTTAATATAGTTGTTTTGCACAACAACATCAGAATTATCTCTTCTTCCTTTGGTAGAGGTAGACAGTGTTCCAGCCTGTATGTTACTACCCATTTGTGTTTCATAGTACTGGAGACCTGTGACATCACTAGTGCTTCTACTGAATAGCACTGAAGAATCACCTGCATCAGTAGGGTCATCTTGAATATTTTCTTCACTTCTATTTTTTCCAGTTAACAAAGGACTATGGACAGGCTGACAGAGCAAATCTTTAACACCTATGGCAGTTACTCTATAGCTTAGATTTATACTTTCTGGTAGATCTTTTTGGTTAACATTTACTGAGTCATTACCAACATCACCTTTATTCTTTGAAAAAATGTGAGGTAACCATTCACTTTCTTCTGATACTTCACTTAACAAGGTCTCCTTGTTTGAAATACAGTAGCTGCATCTGTTCTCTGGTAGAACTTCAGCTTGATTTTGTGAAGTTTCTAGTTCTGCTCTTTCACTATTTTCTTTGAAATACCTCTCTTCCTCTCCCGTTTTAAAAATATGCATGCTTTGTGTGTTGGAGCTATGGGCCAGTACCTCAGTCATAGCCAAATGAGCAGGGGTTATCAGATGCATTTCCTCTTTTTTATTAGGTATAAAGTCATCTGCGACAGATTCATAAATATCAAGTCCATTTCCATCTAAAGTTATAGATGCATTAATATTTTCAAAATTATCTACTTGTCCAAACTCTTCACTTATTTTGCATTGCCCAACTACATCTCTATCTCCACACAAAGAACCATCATTACTATTGTCCCTCAGTGTTTTATTTGTGACACCTGAATGACTTCTTTCTCTCTGTGTTTCATCGGTGTCAAGACATGCTACTGGTAACTGAAGTCCATCCTCTTCTTCCAATGGAGAAGCAACAAAATACTTTTCTGGAATCTCATCATCATTGGCACTGTCACAATATAGATGATCATAAGCTGGTTTCTCTTGGACTAAAGCATCATTTTCAGCAGTGTGTGGCCCAATTAACCCCTCTTTTTCTGATGCATCACTTTGTTCTTTGCCCTCTGTTTCAAAATTAATTATATTCTCATCAACTGCATTTTCTTGAAAAACAACCTTGGGGGATATCAAGCTTTCTATTAAACAACTCTTACTTTCATTGTTAGGTGTTTTTTTATGTTCTTTACTGCAATCTGAAGTGTCCTCTTGTCTGCTTTCTGTGGGTACAGAGGCACAAACAGTTTTTATAACTCTGTCATCTTGAACAGGTTCTTCATATTCGTCAAGGCAGTTAACAGTTTTTTTAGTTAAAACTGTTGAGCTACAATACACAGCTGACTCAGTTCTTTCCCAATCTGCTTTCATGTCTGTGGTGTGACATTCACTTTCTTTTGAATTTTCTTGAATTTTAATTTCATCGACATTGCTTGACTGAAAGGTGATGTCAGGCCCAGTTGTTGCTTTTGATGCACACAGTTCTCCTTTGCTGTTATCACTCAGCTGGACCTTCTCTTCATTAGTTTCTTCCTGTGTTTCAGTTACAGGCAATCCTCTTTCACAGTTCTCATGCTCATTGCTGGGTCTGTGAAAAGGAGAACTTGATTCAAAGCTCTTCCTATTCACTACTGGTTCACTTTGAGATTCAATTCCAGGATAATTACACAAACTTTTATTCTGACTAGATTTAATTTCTAACATGTCATTTTCCAGTTTGTTAACACTATTTATTAGCTTAGTGAGTTCTTCACAGCACACTGACTTACTACTATGTTTACTCTTATTTTCTCCAGAAAGTGATACAGCAGCTGTGACAACTTTCTCTTTGAGATATTCAGATTCTTTATTCACACAAGGAGTCTGTGCCTGGGAAGCTGTAGCTGAGAAAACTCTATTTTCTAACACTTTTACAGAATTATTTTCAGTGTAATTTTCGGCTTGAGTGGTACACAATTCCACTCCTGAATAGTCAGTTTTTTTAAGGTCCATACACAGAAGTGATGCTTCGTTCACCTCTCTTGATGAAGGTAAAGATCTGTGCCGAACTTTGGTTTTACCAGGACAGCCAAACTTGTCAGAATTATAAAGAACTGTGTGTTTCTCATCAATAGAGGTAATAGAGCCAGTTTCTTTTGAATTATTTCCTGTATAAAATGATCTGGTCTCACAAACGTCCTTTTCTACTCTTGTTGTGTTTTGGCACAATATATTTGGATTGGATTTTGAAGAGACTTTATCATCAAATGAACAAGAATCAAGAACTGAAAGTTCACCTTTTTTCTCATTTACATTTACACTAGAACATATCACGTTGTCTGTCCCCAAATCCATACAAGTCATGTTATACATTTTCCCTTCAATGGTGTTTCTCATCAAATGTTCAGTGTCCAAAATTAACAAACCTTTTTGTCTTGAGTAATTTTCAGAGCAGTCTGGTATGAAACCAGAATAAGACTTGCTCACTAAGGCTTCGGTTTGAAATTCAAAACAATTTCCTAAACTCCATTCTTCATCTTGCAGTTTTTTTTCTTCTACCTCTCTAAACGAAGGCACCTCTAAAGCAGATTCTGTTAAGACATCTCTGTTTTCATATATAATGGCTTTCTCAGTTGCAGAGATTTGTAGTAGTGGAGTAAATTGATCCTTACGGTGAGAGGCTGCTGTCTTCATAGGATACGATCTGTTTTCAGCAGAACTGCTCACCGAAGTGTCTTCTGCTGTCACCTGCTGGTATCTTATTTTCTGTGCTAGGTTAAAATTACATCCATCATATCTTACCAAATGGATCTTATCATGAGAATACTCTTCTTCCTCAACATGATTTTGACTTTTGCTTCTTATGTCACACAGACAGAAACTTTCATTACTAAATAATATATTTTTGTTTGAAAACAAATTTTCATGGCATTGATGTTTTTCTTCTGTTGTGCCCACTGTAGCCAATCTAGGAGGCTCACTGGATAATGTGCAGATGGATTTATCTTCAGTATTTGAATCAACTACTTCTGAGTCCTTTATACTACCATCACAGTCATAATCAATGCTGTCTTTTTCAATAGTTCTAAAGATGCAGTCTTCTAGATTAGTAGTTATATGAGGTTCTTCTCCTTGTAAACAGTGCATACTGGATGTAGAAATCAATGAGTTAGTTTTTGAAACTTCATTCTTCTCAGGATAAATTGAAGAAACAGAGAGGTCTTGTTTTTCTGATGCTTGAGATGAATTATTTTTGCCTGGGGTTTCTTTTAAACAGCTAGATGTTTGCTTCCATTCATCAGTAGATCCACCCTCAGCCAACTCATCAGGTTGATGGTTATTAGACTCTGGTGGTAAGGCAATCTCACAGTAACTGTGTTTTGTAGGAAATGCAGAAACATGATCAAATGAAATGTCTGCTGTTGAGCTGAAAACTGACATTGCAGCTCCTACCATTTCTCTCTCAAGATGTTTTCTTGTTTCTGGTAATGGTGTTGATGGTGGTGCAGATGAAAATAGCATCTCAATTTTGGTAGGCTCATGAGCTATCCAATGAGGCTCTTTATAAGAGACAAATGATAATTCAGCAGCTGACTGTCTTAGTTCATCCTTCTTCATCCAGTTATGTGAAGTGTTAAAAGGGTGTACCTGAGCAACCTGAAAATCTGAGTGGTCTTGGAAAGAAGGCATCACTGTTATGGGGCTGCTTTTCCCACTTTTTAAGTCATAGGAAAGCCAAGCATCTGACGAAATTGGAAGATTTTCACCTGCAGCATGTGGTCTTTGATCTAAAGACCTTCCTTGAACTGAAAAATTAATTTTCATCTCCTTCAGTGACTGATCACAAATGCTACTGGAACCAGACTGTGTACTAGCATCCAGATAAAAAGAACTAGCATTGAAATTCAAGTCATCAGATTTTCTTATTATATTTTCATCAGAGTTGTGCTGTTCATTGCCATTTCTGGTTTCTAACTGTGGATTTTGCAATCCCCAAAAAAGTTCTGCTGGCACTTCATCTAATGACTCCAATTTGCATTCCTCTGCCATGTCTTCTGATACTTCATCAATATCACCTAGACTATCCAAAGAAAAGCTTCTCTCATGCTCAGTCAAATGACTGCCTGATGTAGATGTGGTTGCCAATACTGAGAAGAGAGGCTGACAGTTACTGTCCTTGTAAAAGTTAACAGGTTCTTCATGGGCCCAAGGAAAACACTTTTGATCTTGGCTTTCAGGTTTGTTCAACTTTTCTGTAAGAGAATCCTGAGACATCTGGCTGTCATCACTTTCAGCATCTTCCAGGTCAAGGGTGTCCTGAATTCCAGCTGACTCTTCCTGCCTCACTTGCTCAGTCAGGACTGCTGTATAAATACATGAAAGAGAATCCACAGAATATGTACTATCTGTATCAGAAAATCCAACATCTTCATCTTCTTGCCAGCTCCTCAGTGTATCAGGGGCTGTTTTTGAGATTCCAACACTCAGCACCTCAGCACTATGCCACCTTTTTTCACTAAGTTTCTCATTATTTATCTTGTTAAGGCTCCCTGCTGAAGTTGCCGACCTCAGAAGTTCACGTCCTTCCTCTGACTGTTTGTCTTTCGGATCTTTTTTTACATTTTTTGCTGTCTGGTTAACATGCTGTACTGGTAGTTTACCACATGCTGCTGACCTTTTTAGTTCTTCGATAGAGTTTGCTGGCAGAGAACCCTGGTGTTTGTTTCTTACACATTTTCCTTTTTTCTTACTGATTTCCTGATCTTCATTCTCTTCTAAGTGTTTTCCCATACACAAATTAGTGTCTCCTAGTGCTTTTGTTCTAGTCACTCGTTTTCTGGTTTCAGGTTCACTCTTTTTCTTAAAGAGATCAGGAGAACAGCTCTTAGAAATCTGGGCTTTAGGTCGAATTTGCCTTGGTCTATTATCTGTTTTCTCCATTTGATAATAGTCTTTATAGATATGAGAAATTACTTGCACATTACTAATGCTACTGTCTGCTCTTTGTTTATTTGCCAGACATAATGACTTATATATTTCAGTTAGCTGCCTCTGGGTTGCGAAGGAGCCATCATCAATCTCAACATCAACATTATCTGTTCTTGAAAGTTCTTTAACTGTTTTGGGAAGATATTCCACAGACAATGATTTCTTTGATTGACTGACTTGAGAGCATCTGTAGCTGTGTGCTGAGGTAGATAATTCATTGGAGGTATCCCTTTTCAGGAAAAAACTGTAAAAAAAACATATATAAAAAGAATCAGCTTTCTACACTTAGTTTCAAAACCCTTTAAAAAAGAAATTATGACATTGCTTTCAAAAATCATGTTTGCCACCATGGAAACCTGTCAGTCTTGCTTAGAAGTCAAGAGGCTGCTCTGTATGAGAGCGGGCAGACAGAGAAAAGTACAAGGAGTCCACAATAGCTCTGCAGTCACTCATTGCCCAAAAGAATATGTACACAGTGGTATCAGGGTCAACACTGCGATACAGCCCCCCCATCCAAATGATATAGTAAACAATCCATAAAGGATCAGCAACCTGGATATTCAATGAGTCTCTCCTAATCTACAGGATGAATGGGGAGGCTTTAGCTGTCAAACCATGCCCCAGGGGAACTGACTAACTAGCCATTGGTAGCACAGTATGGGTTAATTTAAGATTTTAAGAACGGAGAGTTTTTGATGCACAAGGATTCTTCCTCTTGTAAATCCCCCGTTCACAAATCTGACTACTGTATTACTTGCTGATCTTCTGTGTGGTCCCCACCCCCATTATAGTCATGCTAGATTAGTTAACAGGAGTGGTAAGAAATTTGGTATTTCTTAAAGGAAATTTGGTGTTTCTTAATGGAAACCTGTCAGGTTCGGTTATTAATTCCAGGAAACCATAAAATAAATACAACGTTCACTTTTTCGAGTATAAAAACAGGTTGCTTACCAGTAGCTGGTGATCTTCGAGTGCTCATCTGTGCATTCACACCAATGGGATCTAGTGCGCCTGCGCTGGATCTGCCGGTGCCGTAGCAAGCTCTTTTAAAGGATTTTCGCGCCCAGCCCCTCCGGGCATGCGCAGGAGGCCCACTGCGCATGCCCAGAAGGACGTGCGCGGACATCCCACCAGTTCCTACAAACCGCCGTGTATCAACTCCTAATAAAACAGGTAGAAGAAGACAGCAGCAGGGCAGGAGGGCGGGTGGTGTGAATGCACAGATGACCACTCGAAGATCACCAGTTACTGGTAAGCAACCTGTTTATCTTCTTCGTGGTCTCTGTGCTTCACACCAATGGGAGATTAGCGAGCAGTAGCCTACCTGGAGGTGGGTGCTGTCAGGTGTTTACTGCTTAGCCGATGATAAAACCTGATGTCCCAGATGGTCACTGGTGGTTTTGCGGACGTCTAGGGCGTAGTGCCTGATGAAGGTATTAGGTGTGGCCCAGGTTGCGGCTTTGCAAATGTCTTGCAACTGGACTCCCTTCAGAAATGCAGTGGATGTCGCGACAGCCCTGGTGGAATGAGCCCGCACCGGGCCTGGTAACGGCTGTTTCGCCAGTAGGTAGCATAGTTGTATTAGACCTACGATCCACTTGGATAGATGTTGGGCTGTGATTGGAGTGCCCACATGGGGTGTAGCGTACGAGTGCCCACATGGGGTGTAGCGTGTCTGGTGGGGCGCGTCCTATCTAGATAGAAAAGGAGGGCCCGCTTCACATCCATATTGTGCATTAGCCTGTCTTCCTGTGATTTCGGATCAGGATAGAAATCAGGGAGATAAACTTCAGACTGCAAATGGAATTCAGATACCACCTTCGGTAAAAAAGAGATGTCTGGCACCAGACAGACCCCATCTGGGAGGAAGGATAGATAAGGTGAGTCGTGTCTGAAAGCCAGGAGTTCACCCACTCACCTGGCCGAGGTAATGGCAACGAGGAATGCC